AGGAATCCACAAATTATACACACCAAGAAGCTGGTTTTAGCCAAGTTGGAGTATCTAACTGGAGTGCTTCCTGCATTTGAGGTGTTAGCTTATCAGGCTTTCAAAACAAGGTTCAGGGATGCCACAGGGAAGGCCAATCAGCTGCAGCCCAAGTGAGAGGCCATGCTACCCACAAATTAATTATGACTAAGTTTTATTTATACAGATGACCTCTCAAAATGATTTACTCAAAAGCACACACATTGCTGCCAAAATCCCACTCTTCACGCACTGTCTCCAAGAGGAAAAAGCAAATCAAAGTCAGGCACAGGGAATTAGGTGGCAGTGGCACTGGACTATGCTTGGAAATAATGTGTTGTGTCTCCCTTGGTCTTCATGTGGCTTTAAATTGTGATAGGCCCTAATAAAGTTTTCTAACACACTAATTTGTGTGCTATATGGAAACTGCCTATTTGGAGCCAATATAGAACAATATAGTCAGTTCCTCCCAGACATTAGATTTTTAGATTTTATATCCTTTTAAATTTTGTCAGAATTTTGAGATCCATCATATGGACAGTGATTTTTTTTAAGAAGGTATTAGTCATTTGCTTAGGTGGCTGTCACATGCTCTGGGTTAAAATGGAGGATATGCCACTATTGTTTAGAGCAGACGGCAGAGGTCAGAAATGGAGGGCCATGGGTCATTTTAGTGTCTAGCAGAAGGCATCTCCCCAGTCCAACATGGGAGGGAGAGAACCCAAGCATTTCCTGCTTGGGGACTCTGCCTTCAGCTTTGGCCTGTAAGCAGTGAGCTTGGGGGAGTGGTAACTGTGAAGGCCCCTTTCACATCTCTTCCCACCCAGAAGGCTTTGTTTTATCTGAGCTGAGCAAAGATGCTACTGTGCTCTGCAGGAGAGGCCCAGAGCAACCTGGAGCATCACATAAAAATCAGCATGCTGATAAAATTTAGCATGTTCATAACATCCCCCCAAAGATGGCCTTTCTGCATTTCTACCAGTTGGTCTCACGCACACAAGTGTTGAGAGGCTGAATCTGGGAGCAGCTAGCAGGTTTTGTTGCCGGGGTGGGGGGACCGGTTTCATTTGTTTGTTGGGAGATAGAGTTTCCCACTGCAGCCCAGAATGGCCTCCAACTCTCACTCATCCTCCTGCATCAGCCATCCAAGGCACAGGATTACAAGACATGAGCCACCATACCCAGTTACCAATGTGCTTTAAATCAGTGTTGTTTCAGACCCTTAACTTTAGGAGAGAGAGAGAGAGAGAGAGAGTGTGTGTGTGTGTGTGTATGTGTGTGTGTGTGCGCTCGCGTGTGCATACGTGCATAATCTTAAAACAAACAGACAAATAAACACACCAAAAAAAGGGACTCGAGGAGAGCCAGCCTGCCCCCGGACTCTGGAAGCACAGTGCTTCCCCCGGTGTGTTCTCTGGTCCAGCAATGGAGGAAGTCTCCCGCACCTCTCTGGAGCAGCCAGGGCAGGTGGGCAGGCTGGTTTGTAAATGGACCCCTCTCCTGTGTGCACAGAGATGCTTATTAACTTAAAACCTGGCAGAACTTGGTGGAAACCCTGCAAAAGGTACGTCCTGCTTGCTCAGTCACTGTCTCCTATGAAATCATGAGATTTTCATAGTTTTGAAGGATACAGAGGTCATGGAGAATATCAAAATCTGCTGTAGGCCTGAGCAGTAGTTATGAACCAAGAAAATCTATACGGAATGGTCCTAGCTTCTTTTTAGTGTGTGTGTGGGGGGATGGGGAGTAGGGTGTATGCACACATGTGTGTTTAGCGTATGGGGGATAGGGTGTACACCCATTCGTGTTTAAGTGTGTGAGAGGTTGAACAGTAGGGTGGACACACACATATTTAGTGTCTGTGGAGGATAAAGGGATAGGGTGCATACACACATGTTTATTTAGTGTGTGCGTGGATAGGTGGGTAGGTTGTACACACGTGTATTTAGTTTGTGTGTGGGTTAGGGGGGATAGGATGTACATACATGTATGTTTAGTGTGCTGTTAATGGAAGATAAAGTGTACATACATATGTGTGTTTAGTGTGGGTGAGGATGGGGGTAGGGTGTATACACACATGTGTGTTTAATTGGGGGATATGGTGTATACACATGCGTGTTTAGTGTATGAGGAGATGGCAACAGGGCACACTCACGTGTGTGTGTACAGGTGTAAATGCCTGTGCACTCATTCAGACACCAGAGGAAGACGTTTTGGCTAGGGCAGCTGGCTAGAGAGCTCCCAGGGACCCACCTGTCTCTACCTCCCCATACTGGAGTCATGGGAGTGCCAGGCTTTTGACTCGGGCCCTGAGGACTTGAACCCAGATTCTCTTGCTTGCATAGAAAGCACTCTTACCATTAAGCCATTTCCCCAACCCCTAACTTCTTTTGAAGTCCTGAGAATGTTCCTCCCAGAGAACACAATACTGAGCACTGGTTCTCAAAACTGAAATACACAGCAATCTCCAAAACGGAGCCCATCTGAGTATGTGGAACCCAATATGCTGTTGGGCAAGCTTTTGTGTAACTGGTTTCCTGTCTGCACACTTACACAACAGCATACTTAAATAACAAAGCCAATGAAGAAGCCATACAAAAAGAGGAGCTCCTGACCCAACATTTGACACAGTTTCTTCCTTCCCAGTCCCATGTGTGTGCTCTGAACACCAGAAAAAAAACAAGCAAGCACAGAAATAGCTTTCACTGAGTGCACCAGGGTCTGGTCCCTTCCTGATGCATGGCAGTTCTCTTGCAGGATGAGAGCCGCTTGCCCATCACTCAGTGTCAGCCCATCTTTCTGGGGTCAGTGAGGACCTCAATCTTAGAGAACAGTCCCAGCAATGAAGACCAGGTGGCGATGTGTGTGGATGCCTGGAGTCCTCTATCAATACTCCGTTGATCCTTAGGTCTGTAGTTATCTATTTATTTACTTACTTTGGTTTTGAGGTTGGGTCTTACTCTTAGTCTATACCTCTATCTAACTCTTGGTGGCAATCTTTCTGCCTCAGCTTCCTGAGTGCTGAAATTATAGGAATGTACCAGCCACCAGCTTTATTAGCTTTTTTGTTGTTGCTGTTTTTCGAGACAGGGTTTCTCTGTGGCTTTGGAGGCTGTCCTGGAACTCGCTCTGTAGACCAGGCTGGCCTCGAACTCACAGAGATCCGCCTGCCTCTGCCTCCCGAGTGCTGGGATTAAAGGCGTGCGCCACCAACGCCCGGCTTTTATTAGCTTTTTTAAAAACATTTTTACATATCTATTTTATTTTATATGTATGATAATTTTGTGTGCATGTATGTATTATGCACCATGTATGTTCCTGGTGCCCATGGATATCAAATCCAGGTCTTCTGCAAGAGCCGCAAGTGCTCTTAACCACCAACACATCCCTCTGGTCCCTTTCTTCACTTCTTAGAGCATACAACTTATGTTTTAACTTTATTGATATAGATGGCCGTGTTGACTGTATACACACAACAGCCCTTAGTTTAAAACAAAAAGTCTCATTGCTGTTTAATCAAAATGCTCCCTGTCGCACAGTCCTGGGGTCTTGGTGTGGAAATCCAAAGCAAGAAGTACCACTGTGGCCGGGCGTTGGTGGCGCACGCCTTTAATCCCAGCACTCGGGAGGCAGAGGCAGGCGGATCTCTGTGAGTTCGAGGCCAGCCTGGTCTACAGAGTGAGTTCCAGGACAGCCTCCAAAGCTACAGAGAAACCCTGTCTTGAAAAAAAAACAAAAAAACAAAACAAAAAAAACCAAAAACAAAACAAAAAAAAAGTACCACTGTGTGACTCTATGGCTAACTACACAGTAATCAAGGATAGCCTGTTTAGACACAGCTCTTCTCTGCTGCCTAGTCAACACCCAGGTTTTGCTTTTTTAATATGAAGCCTTATTTCCCTCTTTTCCCTTTTGGGAGCAGTGTCCTCCTGCCCCAGTATTTATGAAGATCAAGTCAGTATTTGTTCCTACATCATTCGAATCAAAGCAAAGTTGTCCATGTTTAGTGTGAAAACCAAGAACACATGTAGATATAGAGCTTAACCTTGCCAGGAAGACTCCCAATTCTAGAAATGCCAGGGGCTTCAAACACCCCACCCATTGCTGGAGTCACAGATGTGTCTCCCTACACTTAGCGACCACAACATAGCCTGCTTCTGTCAGGTTACTACATTTTAATCAGTGTGACACAATCTTTTTTTTTTTTTCTTTTCCCTGGATGAAAAGGTTTTCCCAAGTACAAATTTAAAATGCTTGTTCAGGAAGAACTGAAAAGCTCACAAGACGAAAAGCGAGCCGCTAATGGCCCCATCACACAAACAGCCACATTTACGCGTGGCTGTGTGCTTTCAAGAAAATAAGCACATATGTTTTGTTCTCATGATTATGCTCATGTTTGCACATGAGTGCAGAGAGAGCCATTTAAAATATGGATCAAGAAATTATTATCCGAGGGAATTGTTTAATTCTGACCTCTTATTTTTGAGATGAGCTACCGACGGTCTTGGTGGAGGAGGGGGGAGGGTTAACTTAGCCAGTGTATGGCAGCGTAAGGTAGGGAGCCACCCCTTCTATGTCCTCTCCTGAGCAGCCCCCGAAGAGCAATTGGCTTTTAGACTTTTGAGTCTCATTTTTGTGTGAAACTGTATAAAACCAGTGTTGATGGAACCAATGTTTAAAACAAACAAACAAACAAAACCAACAACTGTGTTAAGGCATAGTTCATGTACCATTTAACACGCACAACTCAGCGGCTCCTAGCAAGTACACGTTCTGAGTAACTATCACCTATATCTGGTACCCAAAATTTTCATCCTTGCTGCAAAAGAAAAAGAGCCCCATATCCATGAGCAGAATCTCCCCAAGTCCGGTAACCCCAGTGTCCTCATTAGTTTTTGTCAGCTTGACAAGTTAGAGACACCCAGGAAGAGGGGCCCTCAAGCAAGGAATTGCCTCCATCATATTGGCCTGTGAGTACGTCTGTGGGGCCTTTTCCGGACTGACCGGTGATGTGGAAGGGTCCAGCTCACCGTGGGCAGTGCCACTCTTGTGCAGGTGGTCCTGGAATACGAAAAAACCAAGCTGAGCAAGTTATGGAGACAGTTCATTTCTCCACGGTCTCTGCAGCAACTCTCGCCTCCAGATTCCTGTTTGAGTTCCTACCCTCAGCGATGGGTAAGTAAGTATAAGACAAATAAAACTTTCCTCCCAGGTTGCTTTTGGTCATGGTGTTTATCATAGCAAGAGAAATCTAACTAGGACAAGCCAGGCAGCCACAACTCTACTCCCGTCTAAGTGGGCTCGCTCTGGACACTGTGTGGATGGAATCTCCATACATTGTGCTGGCTTCTGTCGCTTCCTGTTTTATTCTCAGAGCTTTGTCTTTGCTGCAGCACACAGTAGGCTTCCCTTTTCACCAACTGATGCACCACTGAACATACGAGGCAAGTCTACTGCGGTCATCCCTCAATGACAGTGGACGCCAGGGCTGTCTTCCCTTTGGCTCACTGGATCAGCAGTGTGTGAACAGATTTCATGCCAGCATGTTTGCACTTCTGCTGGGAATGAATTTAGGAATGGACTTGCTGGGTCACATGGGAACTCTAACATTGTCAACCACAGCCTGACTAATCCCCAGCGTCGTCTGCGCCCCACACCTTGCCGGCAGTGCAGGCGACAGTGGTTTCACACCATCTTCACCACCATTTGCCACAGTCCCATCAGCTTTTCTGGTTTGGTATGCCTGAAGTCTGGCTTTGTCATTACCTATAACTAAGGCAGTTAAAAGGGATGTAGGGGCCCTGTATACATTTCCTTGGTCCCTTTTTAAGTTGGGTGACTTGTCTTAGGTATTCGTGTTGGCTGGTCTTATGTCAAATTGACACAAAAACTAGAATTATCTGAAAGGAGGGAATCTTAACTGTTCTACTGCTGAGATACTGATCTTTTGAGGCATTTTCTCAGTTTGGTAGGGGAGGGTGCAGTCCATTGTGGGTGGGGTCATCCCTGGGCTGGTGGTTCTCGGTCTATTAAAACAAAACAAAACACAACAACAACAAAAACAGGCTGAGCTAGCCACGTGGAGCAGGCCAGTTATCAGCACACCTCCATGGCCTCTGCATCAGCTCCTGCCTCCATATATCTACCCTGTTTGGGTTCCCTCTTGACTTCCCTTGATGATGAACATCTATATGGAAGCATAAGCCAAATGTCTTAGGGTCTCTATTGCTGTGAAGAGACGCCATGGCCACAGCAACTGTTATAAAGGAAAAACATTTAATTGGGATGGCTTACTTTTTCAGAAGTTTAGTTGTTATCATCATAGCAAAGGAGCATGGTGGCATGCAGGAGGGCATGGTGCTGGAGAAACAGCTGAGAGTCCTGCATCTTGATTCACAGGCAACAGGAAGTAGTCTGAGACACTGAGCAGTATCTTGAGCCTCTACAGTGACAGACTTCCTCCAACAAGACCACACCTTACTCCAACACACCTCCTAATAGTGCCTCCCTTTGGGGCGCATTTTCTTTCAAACCACCACACTGAAGAAAGCTTTTCATCTCCAACTTGCTTATTGATCATAATTATTCATCACAGCAATAGTAACCCTAACTAAGACAACGTTCCCTCAGTGCTTTGCATGGATATTTCCAAGTTCAGCTGTCACTCACCATAGGCCTAGGCCTTGAAGGATAGGCATCTCAGCAGCAGAACACTGCACCTCCCTTCAGATGGGCTGAATATTTGCTAAGCACCACCTCTGTGGGAACAGCTGACAGTGCAGAATTAAACACTCACTGCAGTGGCAGCTGACAGTGTGGAATTAACACACACTCAGTGCAGGGGCAGCTGACAGTGTGGAATTAACACACACTCGGTGCAGTGCAGCTGACAGTGTGGAATTAACACACACTCACTGCAGTGCAGCTGACAGTGTGGAATTAACCACGCTCGCTGCAGGGGCAGCTGACAGTGAGGAATTAACACAAGCTCACTGCAGGAGCAGCTGACAGTGCAGAATTAACCACGCTCACTGCAGGGGCAGCTGACAGTGAGGAATTAACACAAGCTCACTGCAGTGCAGCTGACAGTGCAGAATTAACCACGCTCACAGTAAGGGCAGCTGCTTTAGGTTGTGGGTTTCCTCAGTCTATCTGTGCTGTTCAAACAAATCCCTACCAGCTGGGGGATTTCTGAACAACAAACAACTATTTCTCATGGTTCTGGAGACTGGAATTCCAAGATCAAGGAACACGCACTCTGGTGAGAGAGTTTTTCCGTCCTCACATGGCAGAAGGGAAAGGGCCTGTTCTTGACATCCCACATGACTACCACCGCAGATCACCGCACTCCAGGAGAAGTCAGAAGACACTTGACTCTGGGCTCCTCTAGCCTCAAAGAGCCCCTTGGCCAGAAGCCCCACTCCTAACAAAAGTTCCCTTGTATCTTTTTACCAGAATTATATCATTTGCAAACATGGAGAGTGGGACTACCATATCGGCTTAAAATCTCATTTCATTCTCTTCTCTAAGAGTGAGATTCCAGCTAGTTTCCTGTAGTCACTGGCCATACACAGCGTGGACAACATACAGGATGAAGATGGGTCTCTGTGTGACGGTTCATGGACCCAAGAAATTCTTCACCCAATGAGATGGGAGAGAATGGGAACCTAGTCAAGACAGACAGCTTGGCAAAGCTTCTGGGAAGGTATGCTATCCACACTGGAATCCAGCTAAGCCAGAGTCCTTGTTCACGGAAACAAAACCAGCATGGAGCAAATACCCACTATGTGAGCAACAAATCTTAGTTGAAGGAATGAACTGCTTTATATCTGCTTGTCATAGGTGTTTAATATTACCATTGTGACAGGGCCAAGTGCCATGACTCAACCTAAATTAACATTTTAGGCTATCCACCGTACTGCCTTATGATGCTATTCGCTGTGTTCCTTGTGGACATCAGCCTTTACACTGTCTCTGAATGTCACTCATTACGTGAAGCCTGTTGAAGTTATAGTCATGCATGTATCTGACACTAATTCTTTGATTGAGTCTATTCAGAAATTGTCACAAATTTACAGTTCGCCATAGCTACATTCTGTGAAAAACATCTTGGTTTGACACGCAACATGATGGTAATTTTTTTTCAGTATCCCTTTCAACAAAGAATTATGGAGAATAGAACAATTGTTCAAGATGGTGTGCTGTCTCTTACAAGGCAGCAGTCCTGGAGCAACCAGAAGGAAGATCCCCCTCCCCCACAGCATAGGGCACATGGATTTTAAGAACTACACTGAGACCCATAAATCTTAGAAACTCGTGTGAATTCAAAATGCCTCTGCTTCTAATTGATAGTGTCACCGAGAAGCTAAACAATGGCCCCGAGTTTTAACTCTTAAATGGACTATGCTGTTGTGAGGACGCATGGTTGCACTCAAACAGCAGTTTCCACCACTAGGAGACTTCTCCAAATTCAAGGCCTTGCTTCTGTTGCTCTTTCTGTCCTGTAGTTCAGTACCTATAGTGTATTGTCCCTGCCTTTTGCACCAGTGGCATTCTCTACATATTAGGTTTAAATAGAAAATAAGTGTCTTTATGCATAAAAGAAGTAGGCATTGGCCGTTAAGTTCCATCACAGCGTGGACATCTATCAGGGTCTCACATATGACAGACAAATGTTCTGCCATTGAACTACACTCTCCGTGGTAATTATTTGATGTGCCACCGAAAAGTGTTTCAATTGAAACATTCTTTTTTTGGTTTATATTTCTTCCTCAGACTTATACTTTTTAAAAATTATTTATTTATTATTTACTTTATGTGTTTTGGCATTTTGCCTGCATGTATGTCTGTGTGAGGGTGTCAGATCTTGGAGTTACAGTTTTGGTTTTTTTTTTTAATGAGACAGGGTTTCTCTGTTTTGGAGGCTGTCGGTCCAGCCTGGCCTCGAACTCACAGAGATCCACCTGCCTCTGCCTCCCAAGTGCTGGGATTAAAGGCGTGCGCCACCAACGCCCGGCTGGAGTTACAGTTTGTGAGCTGCCATGTGGGTGCTGGGAATTAAACCTGGGTCCTCTGGAGGAGCAGTGAGTGCTCCTAACTGCTGAGCCATTTCTCCAACTCCCAACAAATAGGAGGTGAATTATTTGCCATGAAGCAATACTTCCTCAAATAACTTCTTATGGAGCCCCTTTAAAGCTTTTTAGTAAATATTTGAGTTCCATATTTTTTCTCAGAGTTTAATAACAGAGTATTTTAGAATCTATGTGCCTGTTTCCTGTTACTGTAACAAACACTTGAGATAATGAACTTATATAAAAAGAGGCCTATTTCGGGGAGGGTCTAGGCCCTGCCCTGGATGAAATGACAGACTATGGATACCCCCATGGAGGGCCTCACCCTCCCTGGGGAAATGAAGGGATATTGGGGGGGGGTTGGTAGGAGGGCACGGGAGGAAGGGAGGGAAATGGAGAGGGACCTGGAATTGACATGTGAAGCAACCTTGTTTCTAATTTAAATTTAAAAATAATATATATATATATATAAAAGAAAGAGAATAAATAAGTAAAAAAAAAAAAAGAGGGCTATTTTCACTCATAGTTTAGGAGGTGTCAGTCAGTGTTAGCAGGCCTCCATAGACATGATGGCATGATGGCTGGTGCTTTTGGTGGAGGAAACTGCTCATGTCATGGCAACTGAGAAGTAGAACCAAAAACAAACAAACAAAAACCAAATGAGGAGTCTTAGGATTTCTCTTGTCTTGAAGAGACACCATGACTGAAAAGCAAGTTGAAGAGGAAGGTTTATTTGGCTTACACTTCAGTATCGCTGTTCATCACTGAAGGAAGTCAGGACAGGAACTCAAACAGGGCAGGATCCCAGAGACAGGAGCTGATGCAGAGGCCACGAAGGGAGATGCTTACTGGCTTGCTTCTCATGCTTTTCTCAACACACCTTATAGAACCCAGGAACAGCAGCCCAGGGATGGTATTACCTACCATGGGCTGGACCCTTCCGCACTGATGACTAAATAAGAAAATGCCTTACAGCTGGATCTCGTGGAAGCATTTCCTCAGCCTGAGGCTCCTGCCTCTGATGACTCTAGCTTGTGTCAAGTGGACACACAAAGCCAGCCAGTACACCAGGGTTCCATAATCACCTTCAAGGATACTAGCAATGACCTAACTTCATTTCAGGCCTTACCCCTTAATTGTTATATGGCTTCTCCATAGCAACAAGCTAGGGACTAGGCATTTAACATGTGAACATTTGGGGCACTCTTAGGATCCAAACCATGACACATTCTCCTCGTGCACCTTAATGTATCTGGATGGGAAGGTTCTGAAACTCAGAGCTGTCTGTACCATTAACTTTCCTGTAACTTTGGACAGCAAGATGGGGACACATTAAAATTGCACAATCATGAATAACAAGGGAAACATGGCATTCCTAACAGACGTGGTATTGTTTACATGCTTTTTAAAAAGAAACATTATTTTATTTTTACCTTTAAAAAAGGTTTTACTTATTATTTGTATCTGTTTTGCCTGCATGTTTGTTTGTTTACCAAATGTGTGCCTGGGGCCAGGGGAGGTCAGAGGAGTGCATCTGATACCTTAGAAATGAAGCCCCAGATGGCTGTGCACCTCCGTGTAGATTCTGGGAGCTGAGTCCTCGACCCTCTGAAGGAGCAGTCAATGCTCTCAACTACTGAGCAATCCAGCCTTATTTTAACCTTTGGTTTTTTTTTTTTTTGTTTTGTTTTTTTTTTTTTTGAGACGGGGGCGCACAGCAGCTCAGAGAGGCCTTCAAGTCACAGTCGTGCCTCAGCCTCCCAAATGCTGGAATTGTAGGCTTGCTCCATTTCACCAGCCCACTTTCCTGGAATCTTACAGTCCTTGTGTGAGTCTGCAGTTATGTGCTTTGGTTTTTAAAATTCTCCTCGTGTTTTCCTGTGGCAGAAATCTTCAGTACTGGATGTGTGCGAGCATGCCTTTGTTGAGGATCCAGTGCCCCTGGAGCCGGGAAGGGTAAGGAGTTTAACTATGTGATATTTCAAAACTCTGAGAAAACTAAGGTGCTTTTACAGTTGTTCCAAAGGACTGCTTTCTGCAATCGGATATACCAGAAAAACCGTATTCGAAAGTTTCCTACAGAACCCAGCGTCTAGAAGTGCCGCTCAGCCTCAGTGTGTGCCTAACTGCTTCTCTGCCCCTCTCCGCAGCCCACGTGTTAACAACTGGAGCAGCTCAATTGCATCCTTAAAAAGAGGTTGCGGGGGAGGGGTTGGAGGGTAGAAGGGTCTCATTTCCACCCGGCTGGAGCGGATAATTTACTCTCTGGGAACAAGGGGCACAGAGACCACCAATTCGGTTTAAGGCTCCCCTTAACTTTGCCAGTTCCCCTACTTCAGGCAGTGTGTAACTTAGAACAACCCCCAGCCCATCTCCTGTACCCCCCCCCAAGAGACAACTGCCCAGCCCCTCCCCCTTGGCGCCTGGTGACAGGCCTGCCCAGCACTGCGGGGGAAACGCGGGTGAGGGGGCAGCCCCTCCTCTCTGGGGTCCCTGGCTTTTGTAAATTTGTCAGTCCATCCGTGAACTTTGTTTGAACAGGGTTCGGCACTCAGTGGAGGATTGTTTTGTATTATAACTCACAGCGAAGCACATCTTTTCTGTATTTATTTTAAATAAAGGCTTTCTAGTAGCCGAAGGGTTTAAGCCACAGGAAATAAAGAAGGAAAAGTGCTCGTCCCGAGCCTGATCGGACATCAGTTACTAGAAGGCCTCATGCTCTGCACACCCAGGAGCGGCTGGGGAGTTAAGAGGCCAGGCTGATCAGCCTGGGAATTCAACTGCCTGGAGTCAGAAGAAGGGACATACCCTGAGGAAGCTTCCCTGCTGGAGTCGGCCTGGGGGATATTAGTTCAGTCCATGCTGACTCTCAGGGGAAGGGGCAGGCCTCACACGGGAACATGGATGCAGTGTGTGTGTGTGTGTGTGTGTGTGTGTGTACATCTGTGCTCAGGGACACAATCCTAGGTCTGTACCAACAATGTTCTATAAAAATAAGTTAAAAAAAAGTTACCAGGGAAAACAGGAATGATTTCAGAAGCAATTCATGTTCCACTAGAAGCATTACTGCAATCTAAGAGAGAGCATTCTTAGACTTCCGGGTATTTTCAGACATCTTACCTTATAATATAGTTTGCCAATACTGACTGTATCAGCAGCTACTTGGGGAGGGATCCGTGTGGTGAAGAACACACCTGCCTCCACGCTGGCATAGCCTGAAAACAACGCTAAGTGACTTTCACACTTGTTTTCCTTTTATTTCAGGTAATATTTTTCCTTAGGGACCACTGTATGACTCAGCAAGTAAAGGTGCTTGCCACTTAGGCCAGTGGCCTGAGTCTGAGAGAACGAACTCAGTTGTCTCTTGACCCCTACGCTAGAGCCACCGCTCATGGCAATGCACACTGAGCCCCTCCAGACATGAGTAAGTAAATGCGATAAAAAAGGCTTAATTGGCGTACATTAATTGCACATGTCTCTGGGTTTCGTGAGGACACTTTGATATAAGCACATAAGGTATTTTGAGCATAGGCCCCACCCCCCTCCCCTTGCTACTCCTTCCCCCTCCCCTCAGTTCCCTTTGTTCTGCTAGACAGTTTCTTGTTCATAGTGATTTTCACTTTTCACATCATCACTGGAAATTTTTGCTGAATTATAAGTTGATTATTTTGCCTCCACACAGTAACGAGGTGAAAAGTAGGAATTTGGCCCTTTGGTAACAGCGCTGCGAACTCAGCCCACGGAGTCTTGGTTTTGCAGGCAGTAGAGAATGTACTTTTAGCTTGGCTTTCCATACTAGCTAGACCCTCGGAGGAAATTCCCATTATCTCTAACCTACCAGAATGTCTTGTGCTGACCCTGGCTGAGTCTATACCCACCCTGTTTCATTCATTTTTCATGGAAGGATTTCTTTCTGAAATTTTCTGAATTTTAACCGTATATGTTTTGTTTGTTTAAAAATTACGGCAGGGTCTCACTGTGTAGCCCAGGCTGCCATCAATTCACCATCCTCCTGCTTCAGCGTTCTGGGTGCTGGGATTACAGTTGTGTACTGCCATGACACGCGTAGGTTAAGCATTTTGTTTTCCTTTCCAGAAGCTGGCTCCACTCCAGGAGAGTAAATGAAGAAGATTTTTGCAGAGGTGCTCTACCCACCAGTGATGCGGCCTGCACACCAGGTTCAGAAGGACGAGAGGTGGTAAAAGATGAACGTTGACACAGGTGCCGCTCCTGGGTGGGTGAAGACGGCGCAGGATTTATGGATGTGCAAATGGCCACTGAGAAGAACAAGGCAGACGGGAAAGGCCACCTTCGGCTTGGTCCTTTATGGAGCTGCTCTTTCACTAGCAAGGCTGTGGTTTCTGTCAGGTGAGAGGTCAACGATGCTGTGGCCACCTCAGCCCTGCTGCTTGCCCGCTCTCCCCACTGGTCTCCTGGGTGAACTCTGAGACTCTCTCTTGGCATCTGACAAATGGGCTAACTGTAGCCCCTTCCTCTTGGGTTACTGTAACAGAGTAAATGGCACAAAATAAAATTGCTGATGGGATTCTCCCATCAGGTAAAACTAACTTTTTGACATCAGCCAAGAACTGCACAGTTGACGGGGGGGGAGGGGAATGGGATGGGGGCACACTCATAATGTTTGAAGTTTACAATTTTGTGCTGGGCCCACATGACTCACAGGCTGCATGCTGTTTGATAATAAGCACACAATCAATTTTGTTTTTAAAATTAGCACTTGATTTAATGCCTGGCTTTAGAGTAAATGTGGAGTCGATGAGCAAATTCGCAGCTGTGAAAACGTAGCAAACATTTGTTTATACTTTGGATATGATACTCATTTTATTGTTATCATATCATTATTATTATATGATTGTTTTTCTTTTGAAGCAGGGTCTCCGTGGGTAGCCCAGGATGGCTTTGGTCTTTGATTTTCCTGTTTTGCTGTCTCAGTGCTGCCATTTTGCTTGGCCTTATTATCTTGCTTACATGATTATGGCCAGTGTGAAATACCGTGAAAGCGATTAATGAATAAAGTGCTTGAAAGTCTATTTCCCCCACATTTCCCATCGGTCCCGGGATGCTGTCACAAGGGCCACAAGTGCAAACACGAGAGTGGAAGGCACACCATGAATCTCTGAGAGATTTCATGTGTACCCCCAAATTTGTCCTCATGCCTCTTGGGTACCCCTGGAGTACCATCATCCACACTGTCCAGAGACTAGGTTAGGCTCAGGCTCCGTGGTAATTATTTGATGTGCCACCGAAAAGTGTTTCAATTGAAACATTCTTTTTTTGGTTTATATTTCTTCCTCAGATATACTTTTTAAAAATTATTTATTTATTATTTACTTTATGTGTTTTGGCATTTTGCCTGCATGTATGTCTGTGTAGGTCCGATCCGGTCTGTTGGTACCGCTGGGTGGGAAGAAGATGAGCTGGGTTCCTGTAAAGACTAAGACAGCCAGAAGGGAACCAACCGTTGTGGGCCACAAAAACATTCCTGAGGTTTGTTTTCAGTGACATTCTAGCCATTCCATTAACAAGTTTATTACTGCTTTTTTTTCATATTACTTGCTTCAGTTTGTAATTATTTCTCCCACTGTTGATAATTGAATTCAAGGCTTTGTGCAAGTGGCAGGCCGCCATTGTAGCCAAGTATTACCCAGAAACCTCCATCTCTAGTCCACTTCTGTCCTTCTTGAAGGAAACAAAAATCCATCCAGCTACATTCCCTAACACAGATGAGCCTCGTGGACACGAAGGGAGTGAAATTACGCTTGTCGAAAAGGACAAGTGCTGGGGGATCCAGGTCCCCAGAGTAGTCAAATGCAGAGACAGAAAGTAGGGTGATGAATGCCAGGGGCTGGGGGAGGGGAGGGAAGGCCGAAGTGTTTAATGGCTTGCAGTTTCTGTTGGAGTGATGAAAAAGTTCCAGGGGTGCACTGTGAAGACACTTTTGCATAACTTAGTGAAATGTGCCAGTTGTGTGTTTGAAAATGGTTAAAGCTGCCCGTTTTGTTTTGTTATTGAGGGTTCCTAGTCACTGTACCCAGCCTCTCAACACAATGTCCTGAGTCCCTAATTTGGGCAAGTCTCCTATATCCTGTGGCCACTGACTTTCCTCCTACTGACCTTTCTGAGCCGCGGCTGCGGTCCTTTAAACTAGATCACAAATGTGTCACGTCTCGGGGAAGGGCTTTTCAGAGTTTCTTCCCCTTTCAGCAAAAGTGTGCGGAGCCTACCCCAGTGAAGGAGACATGGCCGCTTGCCTCCCTCAGTCTCCTCTCAGTTCTGTAGGGAAAGTTTCCCGTCAATGTGCATATGTAATCAGTTATGCATGGCGACATCTAATGAGATTTGGGGGCTAAGACAGTCAAGGGTTTTGCAGTTGTAAGGATGTGAGATGTAAATAGGCCACAACCTGCCTGCTGAGGAATTACCATGCTGTGGGGTTGTGACAGAAGTTAGCAGAAAGCAGCTTCCCTTCCCCAAACATGGGGGACTCTTTCAGAAGAGAACACTTTATTGAATTCCTCTCTCCTCAGATGAATTCTACTCCGTGGCCCCCTTCCTTTTATTCTCCAGACCATTATGACCCACATCTGTGGAGCTCTGGATCCGCTATCCTGAAGGCAGCCGTTGCTGGGCCTTTTAGTTGGGCTGAAATTAGGAACAGACTTGAGGGTTGTCAACCTGCTGTGTAGTCACCAAAAACTGCAAATGGTGAGAAAAATAGCTGCCTGCCTTAAACAGTGAGGGCAATTTCCACACCATTTGTGCCTCAGTTGGGAACAGGGCTGGCTCTGAGATTCAACAGGGTTATTTGCTAATGCTACCTGTTGTAACCCAAAAGATACATACACACAGCAAAAATCAGGAAAAGAAAATCTGGGTGACAGTAAGAACACTGTGCAACAGGCCAGTGTGCAGATTTTTAGTGTTTGTTTTATTTTTCTACTCTGTGAAGAAATCAAGGAAGGATTGTGAAGATGATGACTCTGTGAGAAAATTCTTTAGATTTCTGCATCGGGGGAAAATGAGTGCAGCATTCTTGTCATTGCACACATGGGTACACTTTGTACAGAATCATCAGGCTTAGACTGGGTAGGGGGATGAACAAAATTTCACAAGTATTTGAAAGAACAGGAAGATCTCAGCTTTGATTAATCCTTACCCCTGAATTATCTGGTACATAAATGACTACTCAAGAGAAGACTGCCCTCAGCGAGAAGTCTCTTAGTGTAAACATGGGGTCATCTGGGCACAGTTCCCATTAGAGGTGGCTGTGAGTGTGTATGTGTGTGTGTGCAAGAAATACACTGCTTCTTTTCTATTAGCCATACCTTAAATAGAATGAGGATTGAAGAGAACCGAGACAGCCTAAACCAAGGTGGAAACATGTCACACAATGCACTTTAGAGTAGTGTAGGTGGAAAGCCTTTCAGAGGACTGCCTTTACAACAGAGTGCTAACTTCCAACTAACACACCAAATCCAAGCTGCTATCCCTCGGCTTGTCTGGATTCTCAATAGACAATATTGTGTCCTTTAAACTCCATGAAAAATAAAGATTTTTTTCAAAAGATTTTCACCAAGTTGTGATTGGGGCACTAATTTTGAAATAGCAGCAAATATCCAATTTCCATTTCTATGGGAAGTGTTTCTCATTCCCAACAATTTAACCCTGTCCCTCACATGGAACACCTAGGAATACCCACTGTGATATAAATCAAATTTAGGCTGCATTCCCTCTGAATTCCTGTCTTTAGACATTCCCTCTCTACACTTCAGTTAGTTTGCAGAGCAAAAGATTGCCCTCTGTTTGAGTAAATAATGTCATCCTCCTATCTGACCTGTAATTCACACAGTCTCAATAAATTAGAAGAGAAAGGATTAATATTTGTGTTTGTGTCCGTGTGCCCCCCCCCCAAAGGGCTTATACTTAGAGTCTGCCTATCTAGTACATCCTGGTAGTTTGCCTCGGATTTCATGCTCTATTACAGCGAGTTTCACTTCAGGCTTTCAGACAAGCAAGGCCTTTTCTGGGGGAGGGGAGTGGTGCTTTTTGTTTGCTTTTTACTCTTAGCTCTTCTTTACTGGAACCCTCTAAGAATGTTTCTTATCTAAACATCCCCAATCACGGAGCAAGGCTTCCTCATCAAATCCCTGGAAGGAACAGAATTTCAAACCAGTCACTCATTCGCAGCAGCTTTCTTCTTCTCCTGTTTCATCAGCCAGGAGGATCAGCTGGTTTAACGTTATAAATGTCCAAATGTTAACCATTAACACTGTGACTTTGCTCAGCTCCAATATTCTAATATTTTAAGTGACTTAAACCTTTCAGAACAGGAGGACCCCCGCACCCCCAAAGAGTCCCAGGGGTTTGTACTTTGTATAGAAGGTGTCTTGAATCTTGAATGGCACTCTTTTTTTTAATATTTGAAGATATAAAAAACAGCAGCAGTATGGTTGTTCCAATAGCATGAGACACCTCTCAAATTCATTTTTATACCATTGTTCTTTGTGTGTAGAGCAATCTAGCACTGGTATGTTGACAATAAACAACTGAAAAACGCATTTCAACTCCATAACAAACTGGCTGGCCTTCAGACTGCCTTTTCTAGGTTTGTCACATGGGCACAAGAATCTGACTCTTGCCCGTCTATCAAATTTCACTCTCAGATTTCGAACGCCTTGTCCAGAAGTGTGCAAGGAAACCATTTGAAAGCACAATATTATTGTAGACGGAGGAGGCACCGAGTGAAATCACATGGGAGGGGCTGAAGGAAGGAGGCACGTCATATAAACTATAGCATTTTATGTAGTTTTTCCTTATTGTTTACCACGCCAACTTGTCAATTTTTCAATACATGGAAATTATTAATGAAACGTGTAGTCGGAAACTAGAGCAAAAGAGGCACAGAGATGTCTCCTACATGACGTGGACTTGAACCAGTATCGATTTAAAAGTACTACCCCCCACCCCCAAAAACCCCTCAATTAAAATTTGTGCTATGCATATTTGAATGTGTGTTGGAGACTGTGTATACACACGTAACATCTACACATGCTGTTTATATTCATGTCATTAGCTGAGTTGGGTGAAGCCTTTGTTGTGAATTTTCACCGGGTATTGTAATGAATTGTGGGCACTTCAATAGTTTTCTGTTTTTGTTTTTTTGTGAATCAGACTTAAATGTGATTGTTCAGGAATACATCCCACTTCGGCATTCAGGCTGAAACTAGCAACAATTGGCCGTGACCTTTAACATGCCTGCTTTCCAAATTAGTGCCGACCATTAATCACACGGGGCTTACATTTTATGATTCGCGGGCCGTTCCTCGCGGGTCTCCTCCCTCTGCGCCCCCCTCCTCGGCGGAAACACACGCATGCACACGGAAACATCTCACTCTCAGCCAGGCCCCCGCCCGGTTGCCAGCTCTGCCAGGGTACAAGCGCCGCCCTTTGCAGCTCCTCCGCACAGGAGTTTCTATTGCAAAACCAGTGGCCAGGGAGGGCCCCCGAGCTGCACTAGCAGCGGCGAGGACTAGGCACCCGGGAAAGCCACTGCGAAAGGTAACCGCCCGGATCTTGGCGCCGATTGCTAGGCAGAGCCAACTCTGGCGTCTTGACCCCAGTGCTTCTCCACTGCGGAGTTATCATGCGCAGCAGCCGAACAATATGGCCAAGAGCCTGGTGGGAGAGGATAGTGCCCCTCCGCAGGCCACGGCTCCCCTGGCCTACGTCACCGCGGATCGCGGGGCGCGCTCCCCGGCCCCTCCTCCTCTCTCCTCCTTCGGCTCCAGCTCCCCTCCCCCCTCCCGCAGCCCCTCCCTGCCAAGTACCAAGAAAGCTTTGGGGCGTCAAATCTAGGTTTTGATTCACAGACTCAAGATATTGTCAGCAACTAGGACCCACGGAGAATAGTAAAGGGAGGGGGGAGGCACAAATGAAGTTTTCAGAACCAAAGCAAAATGAGTTGAACTTTGAAGACACGAGTAAACAGCCACGGTGACAAACGAGTGGAAGCTCCACTCAGCCCCAGAGCTGTCCTGTTCTTTCCGCGGCATGCGGACTCCTGGACTCGCTCCCGTGAAGTTCAGGGGACACGCGGGCAGGGTGAACACCATTTAGTATGGGCTCGAGGCTCAGCGTCCAGGTGCTGAGGTTGCATGCCAGAAACGTCTGCTCGTATGGATGCGTGTGTGTGTATGTGTGTGTGTGTGTGTGTGTGTGTGTGTGTGTGCAGTGTGCGCGCACGTAAACAGCCTGTAGGAACTGGGGCTGCGGCAACCTGAGACCTGAAGCTGAGGGGCGACCACTAGCCGCGGACGTCGTGATTCAGTGCTATTAGGGGAGGAATTAGCTGGATCTGAGTCATCGTGAGCCTCCAGACTTTCTCCGCAGTGTGGCAGAACTTTGTGCTGATGAGACAATAGTGGAGCGTGTGCGTTTCCTTCAGGGCAGACCATTCCCGGGCTGGGGGAAGCCTAGGGCCTGCTCCGACCGTGGACGCCAGGCCCCCGTCTTTGCTGGGTGCAGTCCCTCGGAGCCCTGCCGGCGCCTGGGCCCCCGCGGGGCGGGTGCGTCCCGGGCGCGCGCGCGGCGCGCGGAGGGGGGCCGGGCGCGTGTCGGGTCCCGCGCGCCCTCGCGCGTCCCCCGCGCCCGGGCGCAGCTGGCGCGGTCGGTCTAGAGCAGCGCTCCGCTCGGCGCCGCGGGCGCTCTGCTTCACCTTCAGATGCGCGGGGCGTGCGCGTCCTCCTCCAAGAGCCCGCCGCCTCCCCTCCAAGGTAGGGGCCGTGGGGCGGGGGCGTTTCACAGCCCGTGGGAGGGCGGATCGACCCGCAGGGCCGGGAGGGTCGGGACCCACAACGTGTCCAAGACCCTGCTGTGCCCTGTGGGGTGGGGGCGTGCTGGGCAGGGGGCGCGCCCAGGAGAAGGTCTCTGGCGCCAGGAGGGAGACTTGGCTTTATGTGTTGGTAGTTACTCCGCTCTGCAATTCCAGGAGAGGAGAAGATGCAACTTCGGGTGGCGGGGCGAGCGCCCGGGAGGTGGCTTTTACCGCAGTGGAGGGGCGGGGTGGGGGCCGGGGTGGGAGCGCGGAAGAGGCTCTGGCTTTGTACACTTCGTCAAAGGCGACGCGGGAGGAGGGGAGCTCGGATGCGCTCTCATCCATTAGGAGACAAAGAGCAAATTGCCTTACTTTAAAGTAAAACGCTCTGGCTAATGAAGGTGGGTGATGGGCGGCGGGGCCGGAGGAGCCGCTTCAATTATTAAGGGTTTGGCGGAGGGGATCGATGCCTGTGGGCACAGAGCGCCTCTGCCTAGGGGACTTGTTTGCGTATTTGTGTTCGGTGTGTGTGTGGGTGTTCTCTCTGTCCCCTCCCCGGCTTCTGCGGGTCAGCGGGGAGATTTGAGTGACCCTAACACTAAAGAAGTGGGATCTCTAGGAAGGGAAGTTCGCGTAGGGGTGGGGGCGGGGGCGAGGTTCTGGAAGTGACTCCGAGTGGGGTGGGAAGGAGATCCGTGCGGTGGGGACTCCTCGGAATTGAGCTTTGCCTTGCTGGGGTGTAGCGGGGTGGGGGTGGGGAACTTATTGATATATATATATGTATATATACATATATATAAAACACACACATATATATATACACACACACAGACACACACACACAGGAATTACACCCGGGTGTGTGAAAGAGAAGAACGCAGCGGGTGTATGCTGCGGGGGTGGGGTGGGGGTTGGAACGGCGCCTCCTCTGCCATTTCCAGGGAGAACATACCGAATAGTTAAGATCAGTATTTAGATTAAACCGCCTCGTCAAGTTTTGAAGAAACTTTGTCTGAATAAGTTTGTCACATTCAGGCCAGTGGGGTCTTTAAGCCAGCAGTTCATGGAGGAAGGCCTGCGTGCGAGGACTATCAGGCTTTGTGAATCGGGAAACCAGTGGGTCCCTGCAATTAGGACTTCAGAGAGCCAGCCTTTTACCCGAAAACTCTCTGTAAGTCAGCTGCATCCATCACCAGCGTTAACAAGCTCTCTGCAGCAGACCCGGCCATCTCCCCCAACCCCTAGCTTCGGGGTTGTGTGTTAGCTAACTCATTGCCTGACTTGCGGATGAAGAGTCACTTGATCTGTGGGTGAGCGCAGATCAACTTGCTTTCCCCTCTTTTAAAATATATTCGTTCGGTGTCTTATTTAATCCAGATGCACAAAAAGCCATTTACTGCTGCTTCATTGTTAGTTTACATTTTTTTTTTCTTTGAAAAGGCGACTGGTGTAACCTGTGGAATTTGAAATGCAAATAAAAGCCTGTGGGAGTTGAGGCAGAACAAATCGGCACTTATAAAGTGAAAAAGATTTAATGTCTTTGAAATCATTGCAGGAGAGAGAAACTGGAGGGGAGTGTGATTTTTTTTTTCTTCCCAGGGAGTGGATTGTGACGTCAGGTCTTTTTGGAAAAGATGTTATTTTTAAGGTCTTGAAGCTCGGGTATTCGAAGTGCTTTACAGGAAAAACAGATTACAAGATTAACATCTGTTAACATGATCGTTTATCTCCAGCCAAAAATAGGTCAGTTCTTTCTTAAGGAAACATGCTTGCTTCAGCATGCTTAAATAATAAAATAACGACTCTAAACATTAGGGACGAACATTTGTCATAATCTGACTCCTGAAAATATTTTTAATTATTAAATCACCCAAAGGTCAAAGTCTCTTTTGGGGTGTTGAACACTACCCTGCCTGAGTCTACCCACCCCGATGACCCCCCCCCCCCCACTCCAGGCTCCTCGATCTCGCTGCCTATTTCCCTTTTCGTCCATTGTGGACGTACGAAATATATTTAAATGGATCCTCTGACTCCGGCCTCGTTAGGGAGACAAACTCCGCATGGAAGCCTAACTTTCAGAGCTCTGCTGTTGTTTTACCATTAAATAGAACGACAGGGAGGGGAGAGAGAAAGAAAAAAGAAACTGCCTTCAAAGTCTCCCTGCCCCCTGGGTGTGAGTGACGGCTCTGTCCACCAATCCGCAGCAGCTCTCTCTATCCCGGAGGTAATTTGGGGTGTGTGCGCGTGTGAGCGCGCACACGCACGTGCACGCGTCCATGTGTCGGCACAGAGTCCGGCCAGCCGCGCGCATCCGCAGGCTCCCGCATTTGCACAGATGTGTGCTGTAGACGTGGACACGCTTTTATCCAAGTCTGTCCAGCTAGATGCGCACGCAGCAGTCCAAGTGGAGACCCTGCCCCCTCTCAACGTCTTCCTGAGAAGACTGGGCAGCACTTTCGAATTCAAGTCGAAACCTGCCACAGGGGAAGGAAAGAGGAACGATTGATAACACTTCTCAACCATTGGGGACTCTGGAAGAGCTCCATCCGCCTGGTTCCAGGCGCCAGTGGGGTCGTGTTGCAGCCACTTGCCGATAGCAAACGTGCAGGGATCGTGGGTTGTCGAAAACGTGCAGGGATCGTGGGTTGTCGAAAAGGATGCTAACTCCACATAAAACTGAAGGGCACCGTTCATCTTCCAACTTCCAATTTCATTCTCTCACTGGGAGCGATACTTAGTCCCTGGTAAATTCTAGAATGCGAACTGCTCACGGATAATGAAAGTTCTGGTGGTCCCCGGTCTTACCAGGGCTGCGCCCTGGCCGCGTCTGCACAATGGGTACATTCCCAGGCAGAGTGTCACGGGCCACACCATGCTGCCTACTTTCTGAATCTGCTCCATTCTCCTTAGGAACATCAATAGTGATGGGTGATTAGTGCGGCACTCACTTCGGGACTGGATCGCCTAGCTTGTGTTTAAACGTTGGGTCTTTGGGGCACTCGGTGGTCTGCCTTGCGATTCACTGGGGGGGTGTTGATGCAGTGGTGGGTTAAATACACGCGTGCGCCTCCCCTTTCTTGAGACTCCTGAGGGGCCACAGACCTTGGAAGGAAGGCACAGTGTCCACACCCGGTGGGCAGTATCTGGACGCACCGAGGTCACCTCCACCGTGCCCTCTCCACAGAGATTTCCAACTCCTAGGTGTTGTCAGTCCGCGTATCCCCCTCCTACGCGGGCCGTTTCCACCCAACCGGATCGCCACCCCTTTCGGCCCTCTCTGCAATCTCGGCGAGCCGGTGGCTTGAGGAATGGGTATGCCGTTGCATTAAATCATTCCTATTTCTGTGTGTCCCGGCCGCACGGCGCCTTTGGGGGTGGGGGGGGCGTGGGCCTGGGTGGCTGGTGGGGGTAGGGGAGGGTGAGTGCGCGGGGGCGGGGGCGGGGGCGGGGGCGGGGCACCACCTGCCCGCCCTGGAGGCGTGGCGTGCGGCTGGGGGCGGGACACCCACCTGCCTGTCCCCGGGGCGGGGGCGGCGGCCGCTTGTTGCTGGGCTGCGGGCTGCGGGGGGGCGGGCCGTGGGCGGGGCGCCAGAGGGGAGGCCCCCTGCTCGCCGCCCCCCTTCTCCTCTGGCGCCCGCCCCCCGCCCCCGTCATGTGGAGCGGACGTCACACGCCTGCACTGTAACCCAAGAAGTGAAAGAGACGGGGACCCGCAAGCCCAACTTCGCACCGTAACAAAGACTGGGGTCCGTGTGGGCCGTGGGGCGCGGACTGTGGGGGAGGGGCGTGGGCGCGGGGGGAGCGGGGGAGGGGCGGCGAACTCGTGGGACAGCGGCGTGGGCGAGCGTGGGCGGGGAGGGCTCGCCCAGCCGGGCGGGGGTCTTAGGGAGGCGCGGCGGGGCTCTGCGGCCCAGCACCGCGGGCAGGCCAGGTAATTGGTTTCTATTTTAAACTTCACTTTGTTCTGCTGGAGGTGGGTTGGGAGGGGAGGCGTCCCCCCCACCCCCGGAGGGGGCCCGGTTATGTAAGTCTCCACACCTGAGTTGGGCCCTGCTCCCCCGAGGGGCGGATTTGGGGCGGGAGTGGTCGGTGGGAACTGGGTGCTGGCGGCTGGCTGCTTCGTGGGGGGCCGGGGGCTCTCGTGGTCTACGAGCGAGACCTAATCGATGACTGGGTGGAGAGGAGGCCCGAGTGGACGTCGGGTTGTTTCTAGAAGCCCAGATGTGCCCTTGGGCTGGGGCGGGCCTTCCAGGGTGTCCATTGAGTAACAAAGGACCGAGTGCTTGTCCTTCTGGTCCACTCGCTGTGCCCACTTAACCAGCAAGTCTCGGAAGAACTTTAGACGGCGTCTTAATTAAAGGTACAGCACAAAGTCACGTCCTGGTGAACCTACCATTAAGTCTTGAATGTTGATTAAATATAATTTAAAAATTGATGTGCGTTGACCGGCGTAGAAGCTCCCCAGCAGGATCTTTCCAGATTACGTTTTTAAACCTCCCTATTAATATGATTGGAGTATTTCGGTTTAGGAATGTGTTACTTTAAGGAACTAACTAGGCATGCCTGCTATTTGATATGATATTCGCTGCTGCCCTGAACACAAGAGCCCATTTTTATCACTCTTTCATTTTCTCTTGCATTCTTTAATTGTTTCGTCAAAATAGCTGTGTTATTTTTGTTTACACAGACCGGCTAGAATTAAATATACCACACTACTATTGTGCATGACTTCTAAGGGCCCCCTCCCCCTCCCTGGCAAAATTGGAGATGGAGTTGAGCCTCCCTGGTGTCAGGGGTGTGAGTTGGGTCACTGGAGGGAACAGCTTTAGTTCCACGAGAGTGACCCCATAGCTATCTCCAAAGGGTTCTGGGACAAACTGAACTTAGGGAACGGCTCACAACAACTGTTTTGATAATTAAATTAAAATCCTGATGTGTGAAGATAAATCCATGTCTAAT